AGACATCATCCTGCTGTAAGCACAATGCTTCTAAAAGTAGTCAGTTACTAATAGACCATAAACATTTTTGGGACAACTGAGCACACTGAAATTCACCAAGCTGTCTGCTTCCGAACGCCGCGTCTTAATTCCCTCTTTCTGAACATGTATTCATAACAAGACCTTTCCTTGTTTTACAAGCAGGGACACCAAAAGTGGTGAGAGGTATTCCAGTGACCTAAGAGACAATACAGTTTTATATTCTATAGGAATAAATAAATAAATGCCCCAACAGATCACTTGTTCCAGCTAATTGACTTCCCCAGACATCATGAGGTTTTATGATTCCACTTGAGTGATCCCAAAATATTTCAAATATTTTTACGTTAAAAAGTTTGGTTTGCAAACAAATAATTGGGTGATTCAGAGGTTTGTCACAGGCAGTTCTGAATTTCGTTTTTAGATATTCTATTCCAGAATTCTTAATTGGAAACTAGAACCTGACCAAGTGGACACCCAGAGCTGACCCTTACAACCCATCTAGTTATTTTCAATAGACTATTTTAACTCCAATTTGTCACAAGAAAAATATGTTGGGAAAAAGTAGTAGTAAGAGAAAGTACTATCAGATATTTTCCAAATTAACATTCAAGCTCAAATTGATAAAGAAGAATAGGAAATAGGAAGAGGAATAGGAAAAAGTCAAGTGGGTAAGGCAAATTAGCATCCACCAATACTTCCTTTATAGCAAGTCTATATGCAGTCCAACACTGAGAATTATCAAAATGCATAAGCTTATTTCATATTAGTTAACAACTGATTAGTACATATTGTGGACCATTTAAGACAACTGGAAAACAATCAGTTTGAGAATGGTGATTTGTCAGCTAGAATAAATCATTTCAACTATTTTATACTCCTCTTAAATGTAGAAGGTACAATAGGGCACAAAAATATACCCAACCTTCACATAATAAGGAATCAACAGAAATAAAATTACCAATCAAATTAAAATCAATGGTTGAATGAAACTTTCCAACAAAAAATGACTTAACCATTGAGAGTGGTACAAAAACTAAACTATTTCCCAAAACCAGAGACTTACCAACAACCTGTTCAAGATCACCGTCACCTCTCTGCTCCTTCCAGGCCAGCAGGTGGTTGAGGCTGGTGAGATCTGCAGATTCTATATAATTGTTCATTGTCAGCATCATCTGATGGGCTTTTGCAATTCCATAGTGAACTTTGGTTTCGTCTAGCAGAGGCAAGTTCATGAGTTCTACCGTTGTGTCAAAAGCTTGCTGAAAGTACTCAGAAGCTTTGTTGTAGCGTCCCTGCAAAGATAAGAGAGAGAATTTTCTCTTAATTTTTTATTTCACCATTTCCCATATTTCCTCACCCCTTCTTGGCATGTCCCACAC